CTCTCGTTCTTTGTCTCTAAATTTCTCTTCATCTCTTTCTCATTGATTCTCCCTGGTGTGTCAGAGATGTTGCTTTCTTTTTATTTTTCACCGGCAGGGCTTTTTTTTCTTGCACAGACGACGGGACTAGTAACTCAGTGAAAATTGTCCCTCGGTGCTCTATGAGGACATTTTACGGGTACATTCACTATAATGGTAGCGGTTAAAGATTATCACGGGTGAAATCTATTTTCGCCTAAGGGACACAGCTGTTTTATTACAAGATTACACAGATGAAGGTGCACGAGTACAGTCTGTCCTGTGCTTTGTGATGTCTCAGGCGGCCGTGTGACAGAGTGAATCTTTCAGATCATGATCTGGTATGACATTGGGTCTGATTTCTTCAGAACCATTGATTAGGTTGAGGCCTAAATTCTTAAAGAACCAGGCTACTCTGCTAGTTTTCTAAGAGTAATTAACAAATGTTTGAACAGAACTGTGCTCAGATCAGTATAATGTTAAGTAACCATCTTAACCTGAGCATAGTATGTTAAACATACAAGCAGATCACAGAACTTCACTGGAAAAAAACTAAAATGATGCGTTTTTAAAAGCCTATTGGTTATTTTCTCTTTTTGATTTAATTGCTTTAACAAATAAAAATATAGTTTAGTAACCAGCGCCTTTTGAGTTTGTTTCCAGGGTAATTTTACCAGAACATTGCATGCGCGTATCTCCACTTCAACGGGCCAGCCCAAACGACCATTTTCCGTCCCATTTTCAGTTCCTAATGGGCCATTCCCATCTGTACCAGGTCGGCCCGGGCCGGGTAGCCCCAGTCGGCCCGGTTGATTCCACACATCCAGACCATGTGGGCTGATTCTACCCACCAATCAGAGGCTTGCTCTAATGGGAGGTGTGAATTTGCTGTCAGCAGTGGGTGTGTTGGCCCTGGTCGGCCTGAAGCAGACCCCCTCGAGAAGAGGGCTGAGAATGAGCCTTGGTTGGCCCGGAAAAATACCAGGCCACCCAGATATGTAAACAACCTACGCTACCCGGCCCGGGCCGACCCGGTACAGATGGGAATGGCCCATTAGATGGAATAGGTCCTAGGAATGGCCCGGTATGTAGCTGAGTGGAACGTTTGATTAATTCATGCTGACTGGTTACTCAGTATACTAACTATAGGAAGTGACAAAGGCAGACATCACGAAAACAACCACACTGTAATAAATTGTAAGCCAAAATCACTTAAAAACGGAAGTTCACCGACTGCCTTAAAAACTTGACTCACGTCAACTTACTTTCAACTCTATATGTCAAGTAGTACAAATATCATAAACGATAACAATGCTTTGTTTGAAAATTATATTGTGAGTTGAAACAACAAATCTTGTTAGATTACCAAGTGGAAAATACATTTTGTCTTGTTAAACATACCCACATTTCTACATTATTTTAACTTATAAATTTAAGTTAGACATTTGTGGTTATCTGTTCAAATAAAAAGTTTGTTAACTGAACAAGTGGATTGTTTGAACTTGTGTTACCAAAATGGCAGCTGTCGTGCCTATAGGGAGCCTAAGTCTCCTCCCTTTCCGGTCGGCTCATGGGTCCCCGTAAGAATGAAAAATGAATGCAAGTCAACGTGGATAAAAACACTATTTTCTTATTCGCTTTGCCTTACGCCCTGGATCACACATATGTTGTACTGCAATGTAAATGAAAGGTAATGATGGGTGTTTTGACCATGCCAGTCACTTACTTTGAGATTTATCAGCTTGTAAAAGTTTGTAATTAGCATGACTACACACCAGAAATTGGCACGTCGCATATGTGATGTCACCACATAATCTCCACTAACGTAGCTGCTACTTACCACATGGCCAGATTTATGGTGGTTCTCTCCTCCTGTGGAAAGTTTGCTGAACTTACAGCCCTTTTCCTTCAGTTTTCTCCGTATCTGGTTCGATGACGTCACTTTTGTGATGCACATTTGTAGTTCTGGACTTATTTTCACACAAAACCTAAAATAGCATATCCCCCTGTTTGAAAAATGAGTGCGTTCTTGGTATCAAAATGTGTCTTAAAATTCACGGACATCATATGTGAAATCCATGGAACACAACAAGCGGAATTACAAAATAGCGTTTTTAGCCCCATTGACTTGCATTCATTTTTTCAGTCTTCTGGGGACCCGTGGTGCGGGAGTAGGTGGGCGTGAATTAGGCTCCCTATACAGGCAAAGAGTGAAGCACGAAGCTAGCAGCAACGCTGAAAGGTGCAGGCTAACTCATGGTTTATACACAGCGTGACTACAGGCAGCCAGTGGGAGTGGAACGTAAGGAGCGGAGTCCTGAGCATTTAGAGTGAACCACCACTTTATTTAGTGCAGTGTAGTGGAATGGCACAATGTTCCTATTGCTACGACTGCCCTCTTCACTTACGATGCCAACATAACAACAAATAAATCTACCTTTGGAACACTGAACAAAGCAATAACTAAGAACAGCACAATCCCCCACAATAAACATGTGTAAACACCTTAAATTTGAACTAAATAACTAAGAACATGACTACCCACATTGCACCTCACCCACTGCAGCTTTCATAGTGGGCGGGGTCATTTTTTCATCTATAAATTGCAGTTTTAAGTTGACTGAACGCATGAGAATGAGGAAAATTTGTTGAAATAATTTTTTTTAAATAAGTAATTTTAAGTGTTCAATAGCAAAAACACACAAAATTAAGTTTAACAATCAAAAATTAACAGGGAGATTTAAGTGAAATAGGAAAAATAAATTTAAACAACTTTTTGAGGCTGTCTTTTATTGCAGTGATTTCTTAAATTGGAAGAGTTAGTGAAGTGGAGTGGAAGTAAAAAAATAAGCAATGTTCACGCCGCTTTAAAATCACCCTTGCTAAACTGCAGACACTGATAAATGCAGATGAAATCCCCACAATGAAGTAATTCATTGGAATTTATTCTCATGGATCATCATATAAAACAGTGCTTCTTCTGGCCATTGAACGCCACATTTTCCGTCACACAACTGCTCTCCTGGGCCTCCGACTCCGATTAAAATCTGCTGAATTAAGTGTAGCATCATGAATGTCCTGTTTTTGACCTAAAGGTCATGACCTGCTGTGTCTGCTCGAGCAGAGACATAAAGTCTCTGACAGGCTAATCTACATGAGATAGTGGCCAAGGTCTTTCATGCACTCTGCTCATCTGAACTGCTTCACCTTTGTTACCAAGCGAAGAAGAAGAACTATTTTGATAAATACATAATCAACATCTTTGTTTTTACCAATAATAATGTGAGCCCGATGTTCAATCAATCTGTGAAATGACAATGTTCATTACTTGATATTATAATCCTGTGATCAGTAGTATTTTACAAGTTATTATAATCTTGGACATTTGCACTAGACACTAATGACACGTAATGTTAAAAGTCACATGACACATTTCCTTTTGTCTGACCTAATCAGAACCTTCGTTTCTGGGAATGGGTGTGGTTATCTGTGGTGTTTGTATAAACCCTCTTTTTGCATGTCAAATTCTAATTTGCCAGTAAACCAAAATATGACAATTATAAAAACTATCCCACGCCAGCTTTTCTTTAGTTCAAAGAGTTCTAGAGAAGTCTCAGACAGGCCATCTGGACTCCCTCTTCAGCCATAAAGAACCTCAGACAAGCTGGATAAAATCTGTTGCAAGTTACAACTGACCGCAACGGTTCCTTCAGAATAAAAGCTGAACCTCACGACCCCTTCAGGGTCTCGGAGACGCCAGTGATAACCTGTCGTGACCTGGAAGCATTCCAAGACTAGTTTGTTCTGCACCGCTGCTTTTCTACCGGCTTCGTTACCAAAGAGGGTCCACGAGGACCTCGGCATTCTGGATCTAATCGGAGGCTCGCCCTGATCATGATCTGGTCATGATCAGATTGCGTTTCATGTGTGATATAAATCTCCTACTAAAGTTTAGAGCGAATCATTCACTCCCACTCAGAACTAAATCAGGGCATCTGCGGGCCTTAAAAAGTCTCAAATTTACTTTTCCAAATTTAAGGCCTTAAAAGTCCTTAAAAATGACAAATAATCCTTAAATACAGTTTCCAATGGCCTTAAATTACCAAAGACCCAATAAACAAGATTCTTTTATTTCTATAAAATTTTCGTGAATTTCTAGTTAGTGTTCAGCATTTTTTGTGTATGATATTGGCATAAGCGGAACCGTACACACTCAGTTGGTTGTGAAAGGGTGCTATTTTTAGATGAGCACATTAGCTGGTTAAGCTAGTGGGAGCTTGCGCCATCTGGAATGGTAACTTGATGGCTAATCCCACGTCCGCGACGTGGTTAGCACCGGTTCCAGGCAATAGCTGGAAATTATAGCTTAAAGTTAAATTTAAAAAATAGCTTAAATTTGGTCAAAATGGCCTTAAAAAAGGTCTTAAAAGTCTTAAATTTGGCTCCCTTAAACCTGCAGAAACCCTGTAAATGCATCTCCGGATCTGCTGGTTCTGAATAAGACTCCATATACACACCATCGTCATTCATCACGTCTCACTCCACCTTAGTCCATCAGTACACAGAGTGTTAAAGTTAGTCTTGTTTAAATTGTGTAGAAATAAATTTCTTAACTATTTTAAACCTGACTCTCGCTCTTTCCTTGGAATTAATACGAAGTGTCGCTTAATCCCTGCAATAAATGTTCCGATCTTCTGGTTAAAATAGTCAAAGATCCATCAGATTGATATTTCATATTTCTATGGTTTCTCACATTTTATGGTTCATAAAGTAAGATGTAAACGACCCATTCTTTACATAAGTTTAGCTGTGTAAACAATCCAAGCTGTTTCAGGACTAACTTTTTAATTGGGTTTCTGGTATGTTATCAGATAAGTACATTTTCAATTTTTTTTTTATTGCAGCTAAAGTGCCTTCAAACATTGGTTAAGGTTTCATTCTGTTATTATTTTTGTTTAATTGTCTCTGTCACTTTCCTGCAGACTCCATCAGAGCAGGCTAAAGCCCGAATGCAAATGGTCCTGCAGGCTGCAGGTAAGTCTTTTTGTTTTGTTTAGCAATTATGTAATTTCATAGTATTAACATTGTCTGACAATGGGTCACTTCAGCCCTCTTAAAATGTACAACGCAACTTTAATGTGTGCGTGTGTGTGCGTGCGTGCGTGTGTGTGTGTGTGTGTGTGTGTGTGTGTGTGTGTGTGTGTGTGTGTGTGTGTGTGTGTGTGTGTGTGTGTGTAAACTAAGTCTATGATAGGTCTGAGTTCAGAGCACTCACGCTGTCGCGTTACAAACAGACAATATAACAAAGATTGTTTGTAACAGCAATGTCTCACTTTGATCCATTTTTTAAACTTAAAACATTTTACCTTTTTATCAATAATTCATTATTTATTAATCTATTAATTTATTAATCAACCCTTTTCATTAATAAAAAGGCATCACAGAGCATTTGTGAGGATTATATCAGAGAGAATGTCATCCAGCTGCTGTTGGAGACAAATGAAACATGGAGGGACCCCACATATATCGGTATCTTCTGATTCAAACAGTTTTCCAGAACCATTTCATTCTCATGTATATTCCTACCTATTCACTTTACGGTTATATTTATAATAAATGAATTGTTTCAATCAGTCTGGCACCCTCTAAATTTCTGAAATTTGAAAGGCAAAGCACCGAATGGCCAATCTGATTGAGTTTACTAGTTTATTCTCACTTTATTCTCACTTTACTATATATGAGTATGAGGTAAAAAGTAAAATCACTCATTAGCTTTCAGCAGCTTAAAATTATATTATTATTAAAACAAACTTCTTGTTTCTCTCGTTAAAAAAAGAAGAAAAGTTGAGGAATCTCATCCACTGTCTTTCTGGCAGCTTTTCGTATTTTTTTTCCCTCCGTATGCTAACACATGCTAACGCCTCCTAACACCGATTGCAGCCGTTTCACACAATCGCATACAATTGCATGCATGCACACTCTCCTCTTTGAGTGCTCCCGGGCCCATATTCAGTGCAGCTTAATTTTAAATGCTCCTCCCAGAACATAAGTCATAGATGTCACTGTGCACACGGTGTATATATTCCAGTGTGTATTCGAGGGGTAGAGTTGCGAGCCAGATGTGACAGGCAGAGATTGACTGTGGAGAAAGATGCCTTCATGTTTACAGTCATACACACACACACACACACACACACACACACACACACACACACACACACACACACACACACACACACACACACACACACACACTGAGCACTTCAGAACAGGGTTCTAATTTCACCACAGGAAATATATGAAAGGACCCGGCATCTATACATCATCTCTAAAGCACCCGCCAGCTACATACGTACCTCACTCAGGACTTGTTCAGCGACACCGGAGGCCACAGAACAACACTGCCATCCCTTGATCTGATTTAGCTGAATTGAACTTTGAGAGTTATTTTTAATGTACTTCGTCAAGCATTAAACTTACTCACAGTTTACATGTAGCCATTGGAAATTTCTTTTTGATGTGGGGACAACTTACAATTAGGGTTAAAGGAAAATTCAATATGTGAATCCCCTCTGCTTCCCTGCCCCTCTCACACTCTCGGCCCCGCCACCTCAAGGCTAATGCTCTACTAATGGTGGTGAACCCTCATGACTCTGAGCATGTGGCTTAGAGTGCTTTGGGCCAGACTGCTGCAGACACAGGGCTAAAGAAGAGGGTTTAATGCACTAGACATGTTTCTGGTTTTTCTCTTTCCTCATAGCCACTTCCAGATATCAAGTTTATGGCTCAGTCAGAGACCGCCTTTGCCACAGAGCTCAGGATGCTCTGATTCAGGCCTTTAGGTGTTTGAGATCATGCCACACACAATGACCTGTGGTAAAATACAAGTGAACAACACATTTAAACATGAAAAGTCAGTTATAATAGGTACTCTGGATTTGTTTTTGTCAGTTTTGGGTTAGGATGGACTTGAACGGTCTGCTGTTATCCCTCTATACTGACATTCTGTCTTTGTTCCAGTGTTGTCAGTGGCAGAGGCAGATAGGGATAGAGGGCGAGAAGGAAGCAGCAGATGTTGGAAGGTTGTGTGAATGTTAATGTCCTGACTTAGCCGTGGAGCTTAAGCTTCCTCCTCCTTCTCTCCGTTCCTCTCTGAGCACCCGCCAGGCTTTCTCTCTCGGGGTCTCCTGACATCCTTAAAGCCCGCGGCTCTCCGCTCCTCTTCTCCACTATGCTCAACGTATTTCTCTCCCATCCCCTCCCTCCTCTCCCTTCTTTTGTCCATCTATGGACTCTCCCTAGTCAGTGGAGAGCAGATCATCCCATGGCTAAAGCGGCTCAGGCCTTTGTGTTGGTGGGCTCTGTGGACCTGTAATGAGCCCCCTCGGCTGGCCCGCTGGCCTGCTTAACGCTCACTGGGGGCTTCCATGGTGTGTGTGTGTGTGTGTGTGTTTGTGTGTGTGTGTGTGTGTGTGTGTGTGTGTGTGTGTGTGCGTGTGTGCGCGTGTGTGCGTGTGTGCGTGTGTGTGTGTGTGTGCGTGCGTGCGTGTGTGTGTAAGAAGGGGAAGGATGGGAGGGATGAGGAGGGCAACACTGGCCTCCAATGAAAGAGCTGGATGGATATATTTATGGGTCACTTCCTGCTTGGCCTACACATCACACACACACCACATAAACACGCACACACACACACACACACACACAGCCACACACACACATCAAAAATCCTTTAGACTAATTAACATTAATAAATTAGACACACATTGCAACAATTTCTTCTTAATATTTGCTCCCTTTTGTTCGTTTATATATTTTTTTACTTTCTTGAGTCTTTGCTCTTTTCACAGCGATGTCCATTTCCACCCAAATAAGCACAAGTGCTGAGCTCGGCAGCGGGCCTCTACTTATCCACACGTCAATAGGGAGTGTTTGCAGAACACCCACTTAGGACTTGAGGGCCAAGGGTCATCAAAACCTTCTTCTTCTCCCTGTTTGAACCTTTGACAGCAGAAAAACAAACAATCCTTAAGATCTCATCAGAGGCTTGAACTTGGAAGGGGCTCATCGTTCTGAATTAATTTCCCTCTCTTTTACTTTCACACCTTGCTGGATTTAGTAGGGAAATTGCGTCTTTAGTAACGGGAATTCTATGTAGATTTGTTGTGTTTGTGCAAAAGTTTTAACGAATACACTACAGCAAATGCAGAATATAAAGCTTCTCTGTCTCAGCAGGGGTCCTGAAAACACACACACACACACACATACACACACACACACTCACACACACCCCTTTTCGCAATCTCGGCTCTTTTCCTACATCTGCCTTGTGCTTCTACTTCCCACTGGCCCTCCCACCGCCTCAGCCCACTCCCTAAGGCTCCAACAGATGTATGCTGAACAGACCACATACATGGAGGGTGTCACCTTACCCCCTCTGGAACTAAAGGGCTAATGCGCCTCATTTAGAAGGCTGCCACCTTTTGTTCCGTGAGTTTAAAAGGTGATGTGCACTCCTAGTTCTTTCTATCATATCCTTATTTCTGTTACTTTTCTTTCTTTCATGTATTTATTTATTTTTATTCTCACTGGAATGCAGCACAAGACTTATTAAAAAATAAACTGCAGTCTTGTATATTCTCCTTGAACCGTCACCTTATCGTGGTGGAGGAGTTTGAGTGCCCTAATGATCCTAGGAGCTATGTTGTCTGGGGCACTTAGTGCCCCTGGTAGGGTCTCCCATGACAAATTGGTCTTAGGTGAAGGGTGAGACAAAGAACGGTTCGAAGGATCTTTCATGGAGGTCAAAACGAAGAGTCGGAGTACCCGGCCCGGAGGGTTACCGGGGTCCCACCCTGGAGCCAGGCCTGGGGTTGGGGCCCGTGAGCGAGCGCCTGGTGGCCGGGCTTTCGCCCATGGGGCCCGGCCGGGCCCAGCCCGAACCGGATACATGGGCTCGTCCAACTGTGGACCCACCACCCGCAGGAGGAACATGAAGGGTCCGGTGCAATGCGAATCGGGTGGCAGACCAAGGCGGGAGCCTTGGCGGTCCAATCCCCGGACAAGAAAACTAGTTTTTGGGACATGGAACGTCACCTCGCTGGCGGGGAAGGAGCCGGAGCTTGTGGCAGAGGTTGAGCGGTACCGGCTAGATATAGTCGCACTCACCTCGACACATTGCATTGGCTCTGGAACCCGAGACCTGGAGAGGGGTTGGACACTCTACTTTGCTGGAGTTGCTCCGGGTGAGAGGCGGAGGGCTGGGGTTGGCTTTTTGTTAGCCCCGAGACTCTCTGCCTGTGTGTTGGGGTTTACCCCGGGGGACAAGAGGGTAGCTTCCTTGCGCCTTCGGGTCGGGGAACGGGTCCTGACTGTTGTTTGTGCTTATGGGCCAAATATCAGTTCAGAGTACCCACCCTTTTTGGAGTCCCTGGGACGAGTGCTAGATAGTGCTCCATCAGGGGACTCCATTGTCCTGCTGGGGGACTTCAATGCTCACGTGGGCAATGACAGCTTGACCTGGAGGGGTGTGATTGGGAGGAACGGCCCACCTAATCTGAACTCGAGCGGTGTTTTGTTATTGGACTTCTGTGCAAGCCGCAGTTTGGCCATAACGAACACCATGTTCGAACATAAGGAGGCCCACCGGTACACTTGGTACCAGGGCAGCCTAGGTCACAGGTCGATGATAGATTTTGTAGTCGTATCATCTGACCTGCGGCCGTATGTTTTGGACACCCGAGTGAAGAGAGGGGCGGAGCTGTCAACTGATCACCACCTGGTGGTGAGTTGGATCAGATGGCAAGGGAACATGCCGCGTAGACCTGGCAGACCCAAACGCATAGTGAGGGTCTGCTGGGAACGCCTGGCAGAAGAACCTGTCAAGACGGTCTTCAACTCCCACCTCCGGCAGAGCTTTGACCACGTCCCGAGAGCAGTGGAGGACATTGAGTCCGAGTGGGCCTTGTTCCACTCTGCGATTGTCGAGGCGGCTGTTGCTAGCTGTGGTCGAAAGGTGGCCGGTGCCAGTCGTGGTG